TTTCAATAAACAACTCAGATTATATCTAGCTAATCAGTCTATTTCATTGTTCTCACCGCAGAGAATGAACGAATTAAGAAAGTGCAGGGCCGTCAGGCCAGTTTTTTTATGAATCAACCGTGAAAACAGCACAAAAAACGTGATGTTATTCTTATATTTTATTTGACCGTGTTCTTTTCCCCTCTTCTCCTTCACCTCCTTGCAGAAACAAGTATTCCGTCCGGATATTTTCATTTTCGCATTAAAATTCTGAATATCTCTCTATCATATACAAATCAACAATCACACTTAATTTATACTTGAATATGTTGCATTTACCAAGTAAACAAGAGTTTACAGCACGGAGGAATTAAGTGCATGATTTAACGTTGCTCTAAGACTGATCATATTTTCTTCCTACAAATATTAGTCAGAAGTTTTTACAGTTTTTGTTGTTGTTATGCCTCGTCTCCATTTCAACAGAAAAACCGGTGAAATTTAAATTTTTTCTCTGCTTAGGATTATCTTGCCGTTGGAAAGGAATGCTGAATCTTACAAAGACTCAGTAACGTACTCGTTTCATTTCCCCTGAACACGGTCTACCTGAAAAATAACCGCGTTTTACTTCTCAAAAATGTTCTCCTTTCCTCTGAACTGAATCCTTGAAAATTTAATAATTACAACGAAGGAAAATTTTTGTATATTGAAATGTAGGAAGCCTAGTGCTAGAATTAATGTAACAATTTTGATGGAAAAACTTACGTTTCATTGCATCAATAAGAATAACAGGCCGAAGCTTTTCAAAGTCTAGGCTTCATCGTCAGGGTCGTTACAAAGTTTTAAACACAAGGGCCGTAACTTGATTAATAAAAACAACAATTAGTAAGTAACATTTGTATCAGACGGTGATAGCAACTGATAAACAATGAAACTTTTGAGTGTGTTGGCCGCCAAATCTATATGACGTCAAGCACGATCATAAACGCCATGAAGTGTTTAGTCTTTATACGTCGCGAGATGACACAACAAAAACAGTATTAAATAGCGAGAATGAGGCAGTAAATAAATAATTGTGAATGTATAATCGGATCGAGGAGTAAGGCAGGGGTGGAGAAAAACCAACAGTGCCGTGATTGGCTGGCAGAGAGCTACGCGACGCGACGGCGGCAATTAAAATGCCTGTAATGAGCCGGTAGCTCTGAGCCCGCCGCTCAACAATCGGGTGCACTTAAGCGAAAAGCATCTATCTACACGGGCGAACAATGGCAGATAGATTATTTTCGCTTGGGTCTCTCCAATGAGCCGGCCGCGGATGATTCGGCTATGCAATCGTCTGTCTGGTCAAGGCCACTTTGTTGCCAAGTGTGAATACATCCGACCCATCTACACGGGAGTATTTTTGAGTCATATTGCGACGGATCTGAAGGGAGTTTTTTTTAAATGATTTGCAACTTTTGACAATGAAAAATGTAGATGAACCCGGTTGGATTGACTTAATAACAAGTGCGCGGGGTCACATCTTGGGGGGGAAATGAGCTATTACACTGGGAAAACAAACCTCTTGGATTTAGAGTCCAGACTCTTAAAAGCATCGACAAGAGAAGTGTACGCTTGATTCAATCGGACTTCCGCTTGAATCAAAAGGAAATCCGCTTAGAGTAAGAGGCTTGGCTGTCGATTCAAGCAAAAATCCGATTGAATCAAGCGTACACTTCTCTTGTCGATGCTTTTAAGAGTTTGGACTCTAGATTCACGCGGTTTTTTCTTCCAGTGTAGCATAGCTTAGCTTTGAATGCAGCTGGCCCCAGGCCACACAATTTTTCTACCATACAAACTTGTGAAAAAATATTTGAAGCCTGAGAACTTGAAACTCTGTCCGTAACGTTGTCGCGTGCACTGAAAAAATTATCTTCTGCCGTGGAGGCCGTCCTTACGGACTATAAAGGTAAACCGTTCGCGTTCTGGGCTTAGAGGCCGGAAGCTCCGGGCGTAGCACCCGGAGCAATCGAAGCTGCGGCTCCAGCACCCGGAACTTTCGGTCTCTGAGCCCGGAACAGACGGTATGCCCCCATAATTCGTAATGTAGATGTTGCATGTGAGAGGAATTTGCGATTTGACTACTGATTTCTTTGTAAAAGTTCGCGAGAAACACGATGGTGCCACTGGTTTTCTCTGAAATCATCTCCGAAGCTCAAAAACAGCTCTCAAATTGAGGCCAAAATGGAGGGTATATTCCACCCTACCCTGAGAGTCCACCTCTGCAACAAGACAAACTCTTCATGCAAAGATAGGGAGCAAATACATTGACAGGGCTGTCACTTTATTTGGGAACTCTAAGACTGAAAACACGGCATCACTGCTAATGTATTTGCTCCCTATCTTTGTATGGAGAGTTTGTCTTGATGTAGAGGTGGACTCTCAGGGTAGGGTGGGATATACCCTCCATTTTGGCCTCAACTTGAGAGCTGTTTTTGAGCTTGGGAGATGATTTCAGAGAAAACCAGTGGCACCATCGTGTTTCTCGCGAACTTAACCGTAGGAATCAACAGTCAAATCGCAAATTCCTCACACATGCAACATATCCATTTCTGGTTCAGTGTATGCGGGAGAGACCAATCAGAGATTGGTACCGACCTGGCAATACTCAGTGCTTACTCCAGGTTTTCCGGAGCCACGCAGACACTGGCGCCGTATCCCTCGTTTATCTCGGGGCAAGTTCTCGGAGTCAGCAGACCACTCCACGCGGTGGCTCGCGCGTTATTACGCAACGAGCGCGGAAAAAATCGGAAAATCGTTTGCCGATCAATTAAAGGTGATTACATGCATCGCGGTGTCATTTTTCCTCGCCGACTCATTACTCGGACCACTTTTACTACGAGCGTCTCGCCGCGCCGGGTCGCGTCGCGTCGCTAAATTGTAAACACATCCCGATCCCCGTGTCATCGTTCTCCTTTTTTTCTCCTTTTGATTTTTTTTCTGCCGTCTTATTTCCACTATTGATTGCTACGTCACGTCGGTGGAACGCAGGGCAGTGCCGTAGTGTCGCTTCCATGTTGCCAAATTTTCGCGCAACATATTGATGGCCGAAGTGCGGAACCACGTAGAGTCCCTTTATACTGAGAGCATAGGCGGTTCTACGGGGGTGCCAGTGGGTGCCGGGCACCCCCAAGCAAAAGTACGGTTACCGGAACCGTGAAAGAGGCTTTTGGGCAAGTAAAAACGTTGAGAAAAAATCGCATTATGAAGCGCAAAAAATTGGCAATGTTTTTATTTCATGAATTTTTGAAATATGCAGGTGTCCAGTATTCAATGATTATGGGCAAGGGATGATGGGAGGAGGGGGGATCTCGTCATTTCCCACCTTTGGACACCCCCAAGCATGAAGGTCTAGAACCGCCTATGACTGAGAGTCAAGACAATGTGAATCTATTTCTGATTGGTTCCCGTATTTTAGGCCTTCACAGTGTCACAAACGGGAATAAAGATTATATTTTCACCGATTGCAAATATTATAATCTGGAATGGACCAGGGAATTACGGGTTCGGCAAGGAACAAACAGAATAAGAGAAGGAACGGAGAAAAGAATTTGAGAATGGGCCGATCCAGGATTACGAAAAAACGTTCAATTTGTGTAATCTTTATTCCCGTCTGTGACTCCATGAGGGGGTGTTGTCTTGACTCTCAATATAAGGGACTCTAGAACCACGTATCTCTGTTTGCGACGTTGCAGACTTCCTGCGGTACTTCATTTTTTTTTACTCTCTCGCTCCCCTTGTCTTCATTGGAAAATTAGTCGACTAAATTTCTCAAAAACTTCTGTGATTTTTCTTCTCTGTCAGCAGAATATTCCGCAAAAATTTCAAGCCATACAGTTGACTTGTTTCTCATCGAAAAAAAGAAAAAAAAGATGTTGCTACGCTGCAATGTAGAGTATCAATTTCTGTATGCATGGGGATTCAAAGGCAAAATGGACTCCATTTTCCAATCAGGAACTACGGTTTTTGGCTCATCCGTAAAAACTCTTATGCGTCTAGAGAAACTAATAGAACACACGTTGTTTCTACACTGAGCCAGGAATTGCAGTTCGAAATCGCGTAATGTGGTCTAAATAGGACCTCAATTTTGACGATGCATTCCGAGAGCTCACAGTGTCAATTTATTCTTGAGTTCTGTCTCGAAGTGCGCTGAGAATACAATAACATTCTCTCCACTGAGTGTATATTATTTTGTCGTCTTGCCACTGAGTTCACTTATTGGCAGTCTCTAAAAACATCAACGACGGGTGGGACGAGTTTCAAAGCAGCGCGGCGAAAAACTTGCTTTTCCAGTATTTTCATGACCGACTGGCTTGATTACGCATAAGTAGGTAAACGGCGAAACCTTGACCAATATCATCAGCTGTCAAGATTACGCGACTGGAAGTGAGCATTGTTTATTCTGTTTAACCGTGCTGATAAATTTAAGGTTTTTCTTCTTCTTTATTTCTTATTCACGGCAATTTTCCTTACATTGCAGGAATTAGTCGCAAAGTGTCTGCGTAACCTGTTGCAGTTTCAAGGAAAAATTTGAAATTACTGAGTTAATTGTTTTGTATCGTTAAAGAAAGTGTCCGACATGTTTTAGTGTAGATTTTACTCTAAAAAAAAAATGCAAATTCAACCACCCCTGTGGTTAATGAAACCACTGAAAATAGCTCACACCAACTCGGTATCTCGAAAATACCTAAGTTTTATTGAAGACAGTCAGTTTTCATGAAGGTCATTGATGTTAGCGCATCTGTTCCAATTTGAACCTTTCAAGTGTCCTTGACTAATTGTGTTTCGGCACCAAAAATCTTTGCCTTTGACTAACTCCTTCACTCACTGTGCAGTTTTGTGTGTGACTTGATTATTTTCATTTTTTTCGAGTTGGTGTGTTTTCGTTCTCACTGATTCAAATTGGGGTAGAACCACAATTTTAGGGAATAACCCCTGACACTTTTTTTCCGTATTCTAATTGTGTGTTTCTTCGTTTGTTGCAGGTGTTTGGGGCGTGGGCGATCGGAGTGTGAGTCACCCCCGTTCGATCGGTCGAAGCATGCGAGTGCGGTGTCACGAGTGCGAGCACAGCGGCTGAAAATGGAATTCCGCGCGGTGCCCCTCGGCGCCCTCTCCCTCGTCACTGTCGCCCTCTCGGCCCCCGGAGTGGAGGGCGCGCCGCCCCCCGACGACGCCTGCTACACCGGCGCCACCATCTTCGCCGCCGTCCTCGGCACGCTCGTCATTACTTTCGGCCTAATCGCCGCCGCTTACGTTCTGCAGAGAATCTACTGGAATAGCAAAAAAGGTCAGTGTCTTATTTTCTACGTCTTCTCTGCACTGGAAAAAAACACGTTGAATCTAGAGTCCAGACTCTTAAAAACATCCACAAGAAAAAAATATTCTTGATTCAATCAGATTTAAGCTTAAATCAAGAACCAAGCATCTTAATTTGAGCGGATTTCCTTTTGATTTAAGCTTGAATCTGATTGAATCAAGAGTCCTTTTTCTTTTTAATGTTTTCAAGAGTCTGGATTCTAGTTCCAATGTGTTTTTTTTTTCCAGTGTGGCAAAAATTTGCTGCATGATGTTATTTTGGAATATAGCCTAGGATTTGTTTGCAGTTAGCACCCACTTCTGTTGTGCTGAGGAACACAGAGTTGCCACAGTCAGCTAGGGAATACCAAAATTTTCAGGGAATTTTAAAAAAGCCAGGGAAACCGGGAAGTGTCAGGAAATTTTTAAAAGCCAGAGAATACCTGGAAATGTCAGGGAAAATGATGAAAATGTGAGGGCACCTTTATTTCTTTTCTAGACTGGGTTTGTCGTTTGGAACACTGAAATTTGCCTGATAACAATTCCAAATCATGTCTTTTTGAGCATCTGGCATATCCTCAATTATCCGGTAATTTTACCAAAATGGGTGATTCCCATTTCGGCAAATTTTACCCATTTCGGCAAAAAAGAAAGTAGACGTTTCGGCAAAATTATTTCAGCACATTGAGGGGGAAAATGGACTTATCCATTTTCCATTCTCACTTTGCTTTGTAAGCTTCAACCAGGACTTTACTTTTTTTTTACGTTCCGCCACTAACATTGCCTCAGATGAAAACGGCAGCATCTTATTTGAACAGATTTGAAGGCGTTCTAAGCGTTCGGTAGAGTCACGCAACTAAACCAACCTCCCGGAGAAGCGAGAAGTATCGCCAGATTTGAAGGCGTTCAAAGCGTTTGGTTGGGTCACGCAACTAAACTAACCTCCCGGAGAAGCGAGAAGTATCGCCTGATTTGAAGGCGTTCAAAGCGGTCGGTTGGGTCACGCAACTAAACTAACCTCCCGGAGAAGCGAGGAAGTATCGCCAGATTTGAAGGCGTTCAAAGCGGTCGGTTGGGTCACGCAACTAAACTAACCTCCCGGAGAAGCGAGGAAGTATCGCCAGATTTGAAGGCGTTCAAAGCGTTTGGTTGGGTCACGCAACTAAACTAACCTCCCGGAGAAGCGAGAAGTATCGCCAGATTTGAAGGCGTTCAAAGCGTTTGGTTGGGTCACGCAACTAAACTAACCTCCCGGAGAAGCGAGAAGTATCGCCTGATTTGAAGGCGTTCAAAGCGTTCGATTGGGTCACGCAACTAAACTAACCTCCCGGAGAAGCGAGGAAGTATCGCCAGATTTGAAGGCGTTCAAAGCGTTTAGTTGGGTCACGCAACTAAATTAACCTTCCGGAGAAGCGAGAAGTATCGCCTGATTTGAAGGCGTTCTCAGCGTTTGGTTTGGAATCACAGTCGTTGAAATGTAAAAAAAAAAACACGAAATATCACAGTAGTTATTAATCGTATGAGCGATTCCTCTTTCGTGTACCGACGATAAAATCGAACTGAATGGCAACTATTTTACTACATCCAAAGTGATGTTCATACCTATAAATGATAATAGACAGCCGCGGTCACCTTAGGACAAAGTTCAACCCAACATTTGAGATCAGTTTACGATTACATTCATTCCTCTAATCGCACCGATGTCAGCTTTCGTGCCGAATTGGGCATTTTTTCTGAAACTTCCTGTGAGCTTACTGATATTGGTCTTTTGCCGAATCGGTCCGTTTTCCCCCTCGATGTGCTGAAATAATTTTGCCGAAACGTCTACTTTCTTTTTTGCCGAAATGGGTAAAATTTGCCGAAATGGGTTGCGCCCTACCAAAATGTGACTAAGAAATCAGGGAAATACCAGAGAATGTCATTTTTTAAATTCTGTGGCAGCCCTGTGTTATTTTGGTATAAAGCCCGGCCCTAGGATTTGTTATAACCCACTTTTGCCGTGCTAAGGAACAACGCCGTATGACCATTCGATAGTTGCCAAATTTCCTCTAATAAAACGTTCTTTTTTTGAAGAAAGGCCAACATATGCACAGAAGTAGCCCGAATAATTCAACTGAAAAACACTAGAAAATGGGCAGCTAATGCTGTAAACAAGACTCAACAGGCTGTTGTTTTCAGCCTTGGTTGTCCTTTTTCTTGTGTTTTTTGAGGAAAGATTTGAGTAATTTGTTTTAAAACCTTCCATATACTTAAGTTCAGATTGCAAACAAAATTCTCCTGAAAAATTGGAGAAAAATATTGATAAACTTCTATGAAAATTCGAGTCCTCTTGAAGGAAATGGCAACGCCTGAAGGCTCATACGGTGTTCTTCCCCAGCATGAAAGTCTTAGCTTGATGATAGGATTTCGGATTTTCACAAAAAACATGAACAGTGAAAAATGATTGTGACGGAACCTGCTCACAGCGTAAGACCCCATAATATATCCAGGCCCGCCACAAGGGGGGGGGGATACTGGGTCCCTGGTACCGGGGCCCGGGCCCCGGAGGGGGCCCGTGTTACCCGTGAAAAAACCCTTTACAAATTCACATGCAACCTTTGTTACCCTTGTTACCCTGTGTCACCCGTGAAAAAACCACTACAAATTCACATGCAACCCTTGTTTCGTAGGAAAAAGTGAAAAATTTACCCTAAAAATTTCGCAAACGGTAAGTAAATTTTCAGAAACACGCTGGAACACTGTAAAATTCTTCTTAAGTTTTCAAAGAAGTATACTTTTTGGATAATTTCTATCTATTTTCAAGATTTTCAGTACAGAGGGATATTTGTAATAACTGCGTTTCATTTTCTTCCGTCGTCAGATGATAAGAGTCTCCTGTCTGGACATCCTCGACTTCAATGGCTCATGGCTCAACTCCCTTGCCACAGACAAACGCAGGGGGAGTCCAGGGGGGCCTGGCCCTCATCGAACTGAAAATAGTATCATATTCCCCCCCCCCAAAAAAAATAAAAAATAAACATTTTCCATATGTTTTAAATGCAACAATTTGCAAGTATTTTGTGCTGAAAGTAGAAAAAAAAACATAATTATTGCGCAGAAATTGATGGAAAAAGTATTTATGGAAGCTTCACAATGCGTCCGATTGGTCGTATAAATTCTAAAATTTCTCGGCGGACGCCCCTCGGACCCCCATCCCCTCCGTGCTTAGGGCCCGGACCCTAAAACTGGTACCAGGGCCCGAGGTGGGATATGGCGGGCCTGAATATATCAGGAAAGTTGTTCAGATTTTCCGTGGATTTGCTATGGTAAATGTAAGTTGATAGGTGTGCCCATAGCGGACCCCTGCCATCACCCTGGAAAAAAAAATTCGGTTGAGAAAATTGTGCATTAATTTTTTTCAAAATCGGAGCTCTCTCTAAGATAGCATTTCAAACGCATTGTCGAAATTCCGTAAATCCATAAAAATGCGTGCCTGCGCTCAAATTCTCCGCCACACCGTGAAGAGAAAAAGGACAGTCTAAAACTTCACGGAAACATCTCGAGAATGTCAAATGATACACAACTCCTCCGCTTCCACCCTCAGTGTTTGATCTTGAAACACCACGTGTTCGACATTCTATGCTTCGCAACATCTGCTTTTGTTTTCCGTGTCATTTGGCCTCGAAAAAATCCAAACGGACACAACGCATCGGCGAAACTAAAAGACATTACTCCGCGTGTGAAATCTTCCCATTGTTCGGTCGGAAAACTCTCGCCTCGTGAAATTCTACTATTTCATTCGCTTTCAATGATTTTCCTCGAAAAATCTGACGAGTGCAACCCGGGCACTGCAGGTGGCTTGACGATCGAGCGACGTGCAGTGCTTTTTTCCGCACGAACCGGCCGGCCGGCGCATTGCGGTTACCAAGCATCGCTGCTTTGACGCTTTGCCACCAAGGTTGACGGCTTCGCACCCACTGCAGCTTTGAAATTGCGACACGAAAGTTATTTTTCATGACTTCATATATTATTTCGCTGATATCTGTTTAAAAATAATGGTTCGTCCAAATGCGATTGGATGAGAAGATTCGGAATCTTAGGCTCCTTACAAGTATTTTTTTCGAATTTCACTAATCTAATATTGATTTTCGTTCATGTAAATTTGAAATGAACGTATTTATGCTGAAAGGAACTATGTGCGTAGGGTTTGAGTGAAACATAGTTCCTTATAACATAAAATCGTCCAAATTATTGACTGGTATGTGTCTCCGCCAAATTTTGAATATTTTTCGTCTAAATTTGACAAGAAACATCTCATTTTCTCCAAAAATGGCAGGCGTTTGAGAAAACAAACAGACTCTTAATTATTATCATAATTTCTGGTAGATATCAGAAGATCGAACATATTTTTGTCAGCTGAAACCTTTAGAGTCTCCTGAAGACCCATCCAGATTTTTGACTTCCTTATAATTTGGGCTGATTGAAGACAATTGAATATTTTTCAAGCTAGCAATCACTTAAAACGTGCTTATTCTACCCACTGACTAGATTCTGAGCGATTCCCAAGGCCAACTACTGGCAATTTTGACACAGGAGCTGAACACCGATTATCTTCAAATTTCAGTCCCTCCTCTTTTGAATCACCGAATGGCTCACAATAGCCTCATGGCCGATCGATCAGAGAGGAAACTCAAATATTTATTCACATAAGAGCGTACGTCCAAAGGAACATGTATGATTACTACGGGAATTCATTTTCGTATGGATGGATTACATGAGGATATCGTCTCTAAAAAGTTATTAAATTATATGAGCAAACCCCCTGCCGCCTCCCGCCCCTGGAACTAATTTGGTATATCATCCAACTTCACAAAAGTGACCCCTCAGTCAATGAAAATTTGGAAAAGTTGCAATGGTTTCAAGCCCTCGTTCGAAGAATTAATTCAATGCAAGTAAAGTTTTTGCTGCCTCATCTGAAAGTGTTTCAGTAATGATTCCGGAGTATTTTCTGTA